CCTCAGCCTCCCAAGGAGCAGGGACTAGAGGCACCTGCCACAATGTCCAGCTATTTTTTGTTGCAGTTGTCATTGTTGTTCAGCATACCCAGGCTGGGCTCAAACCTGCCAGCTTCAGTGTATGTGGCTGGCTCATAACCACTGCGCTATGGGTGCTCAGCCAATCTTTTTTTTAAACAGAGGCTCACTCTGTTGCCCCAGGTTAGAGTGCTGCGGCATCAGCCTAGCTCACAGCAACTTCAAACTCCTGGACTCAGGGATCCTCCTCCCTCAGCATCCTGAGTAGCTGGGTCTACAGGTGCCTGTCACCACAGTGCCCAGTTAATTTTTCTATTTTTAGTAGAGACAGGGTCTCACTGTTGCTCAGACTGGTCTCGAATGCCTGAGGTCAAGTGATCCTCCCATGTTGGCCTCCCAGAGTAGTAGGATTACAGGCGTGAGCCACTGCAAAAAATGTAGCCTCAGGCAACATTTTTTGACTATCCTTTCCTCTCCCTGTATGGACAAAGCTTATCATCATTTATGTTGAGTGATAAAAAGCAAAAGTAAAAAAAATTTTTTTTTGCAACAGAGTCTCAAACTGTTGCCCTGGGTAGAGTGCCATTGCATCACAGCTCACAGCAACCTCCAACTCCTGGGCTCAAGCAATTCTCCTGCCTCTACCTCCCAAGTAGCTGGGACTTCAGGCGCCTGCCACAATGCCCCGCTATTTTTTAGTTGTAGTTGTCATTGTTGTTTGGCCATCCTGGGCTCGATTTGAAAACCCACCAGCTCAGGTATATGTGGCTGGCACCTTAGCTGCTTGAGCCACAGGCACCGAGCCCAAAAGTCAAAATTTTTTTATATACCTTTTTTTTTGAGACAGAGTCTCACTGTCACCCTCAGCAGAGTGCTGTGGCATCACAGCTCACAGCAACCTCAACCTCTCAGGCTTAAGCGGTTCTCTTGTAGTTGTCATTGTTATTTGGCAGGCCAGGGCCAGGTTTGAACCTGCCAGCCCCAGTGTATGTGGCCGGTGCCCTAGCCTCTGAGCTATAGGCCCCAAGTCAGCAGCTTTATTTAGTTTTTTTGTTTGTTT